CGAGGTACACCCACGATCGCTCACGCGGCTGCATTCTGGACAAGCTGGAGTCTCCGAATGCTCTTCAAGGGCTGCCCCATGAGAAGACAAATATAGCAATCCAGAACAAGAAATAGTCTTAAGGGACTGATTCAACTACTCGACATTTAGGGGGGAAAACAATCAATTTTCATCCAGTTAGTTTCACTTAAGTTAATCTTTGTGGTTTTATTGACTTTGCAGGAGAAAAAAGTATGGTAGGCTACTCCTGAACAATATATCTGGTACCTTATTTACACAAACTGTTTGCTATCATCATCCATATTCTCTCATTGTAGCCTAATAGAATACTTCTGAAACCTAGTTGGATTCTTCTCAGATCAAATTACATTTCCTTCAAAGAGACCTGCGTATCATATGGCATGGTTAAGGAACCTATGTGTTTCCAGATGCTGTTCCATCATTCTGAGTCATTATAATGCTGGCCCTTGTGGGAATTGGCAACCAACGACTCCACAGAGCAGTGTACATATGGCCTTAAAATGAACACTCCTGTCAATGCTAAGGTTCTGAATTACACCTCTGTGGATCAGATCAGCCCATTAATGAGCAACATTTCAGGTGTGATATAAATTGCTATGAATTATCCAAGAAAATCATGCTATAACTAATAAAAGATACTTCAATGCAGCAAATAGGGGCTCGGATGCATTAAAACAGCTACAAAAGGATCTACAGTTCAGTCCAATCCATTTGGAAACAGATCTCACTGATTTAAACCAGACTTACATATTAATAAAATTGTCCTGATTTCAATGCTTATCAAAATTATTCCAGCTGTGTAAGACAGAAAAGAATTAAAGCAGACCCAGACAATTAGATACATCAGTGGCTCAGAAATTTTTGTTTTTGGCACCCTGCAAAGGGTAAATGGCTTGCTTTCTGCAAATGCTCCGTTGCTGCCTTGTTCTTGAGAAAGATCACAAAGAAAGGCCATATTCAGTGAAATGACAATTCTTTAGAGACAAAAACAAGAGCACACCAGGAATAAACATTTCCAGAGTTTTGAGGCAGCCCAGAGAAAAGTTGTATTGAGCCAGGGGGGGAATCAACCTTGTTCTATTTCAGGCAAAAAGTGATGTGAAAGCAGTTTTCTGTGAGAACTGAACTCCTCATAAAGACAAATACTTTGGGAACTTTGCAACAAAACAAACGAAGTCATAAAGATGAAGAAATTGGACGTAAGTTTCTACAGTGGTGGGTTTCAAAAATTGTTGGAACCTACTCTGTGGG